TGAGGCCCTGGGTTCAATTCCTCAGCACCACATAAGCAAAAAGAAAAAAGCCAGAAGTGGCACTGTGGCTCAAGTGGTAGAGTGCTAGCCTTGAGCTGATGAGCTGAGAGACAGCGCATAGGCCCAGAGTTCAGGCCCCAGGACCGGACCCCCCCCACACACACACACAAAAAAAAAAGTCTCACAGACGTTCATGCCCAGGCTAGCTTTGAACTGGGATCCTCAGATCTCAGCCTCTTGAGTAGCTAGGATTACAGGCGTGAGCCACCAGTGCCTGGCTCCTATTCTGTTTTCAGACAGTCTAACAATGTGCTGCAACCTGGCCTGGAATTCACTATTTGTAGCACAGGCTGAAACTCACCTTCCTGCCAGAGAGCTGGGATTACAAGCATGTACCATCATGTCCAACTTACACAGTTTCTAACCGAAAATATGATGCTCTGTGTTGATTCTGTCATCCACTCTAAAGGGATCATGACTTGTAGCTTGGGGAAAAAACAAGCTAAAAATTTCCTATGGCAATGTTAATGATTGGTCTTGGTGCCCGAAAGACCCTCTGAGGCCTGGAATGGATTGTGGCTACTCTCCTTCCCCATTCCTTGCCTTCTTCCCAGGCCAGGCCCATGTGGGAGCCGGCCATGCTCTGCCACTGAGGAGGGTGCCCTCTGTCTCCCAGAGACCAACTGGCTCTTTCCTTTTAGCACCAGACTGTTCTGCTATAAGTGTTTCTTTTTAATTCAGGACACATATGGTCCTCTGTTGTTTGCATGTACCACAGAGTCAACAGACCATCTTGTCTTTTAGTGTCTCCATAGCCAAACACAGCACCCCCACACAAGGCAAAACTTTAGTCCAGTTTCTCAGTTACCCCCCCAACCCCCACCTCTGTTCTTTAATGAATAGTTAGAAGAGGGCCACACATATTAGTCTCCATAAAAAGTATTTGGCTGACTTATGGCGCTTTAGAAATCCTGTTTGGTTAGAAGCTGCTTTCTTTTTAACATTAGAATTGTAATTATTATCTTTCCAATGAGACTGGAATGTCTGAATGGACAGATGATAAACAAGCGCAGCGAAGCTGACGCTTCCACCACATTACAAAAGGCACAAGTATTTTTGTCTAAATGTAGTAGAACTTTACCACAGAATTATGAGAGATTTTTTTCCAAGCAAAATTTGGAAGGGTCTGGAAACTTCTCTTGACAATGAGAATTGAAAAGCAGCAATTACAAATGGCTGCTAAAGAAATCTCCAGCAGCCAACAGTGTGCCATCAAAATCACTAGAGATAGATTAGAAAAAGTTGGACATTTAATGAGAATTGTTTACGCCAAGGCAAATCCAGGGATGATAAGCATCCATGAAATCAGCCTACAGCCAAGTAGGAAGGCAGAGCAATTAATAAGAAGCATCCTGAACTTCCTCTCATCTTGTTGTCATGCCATTGGCTTTGGGGCTTTTAATAATGAAAGCTTTCCCCCAATCCAGCTATCACTGGGTCAAACTCTGTGATCTCATATTCCTTTGGAAATGAGACATACAGTCAAAAGCTCATTGTGTGGTTTAGACATTTTTTTTTAGGGTTGGGGCAAAAAAAAAAAGGTAGAGGAAATAGATTCTAAAATCCTGAGCAATTGTGCTCAGTAACTTTGTATCTACGATAGTTATCCAGGGACAATCCTGACCTAATGCACACAAAGAAATGGGTTCTTAAACTCTGCTGCCCCTCTTTACCTTTTGGCTGGTGAGGGGGTATCCTGTGCTTGTGGTGGAAAAAAAATACTGAATCAAAATTGAATTACAGTAAGTTCTTCCTGATTTGTTTTTTAAGTTTCTGTAGGGCACTGGTGGCTGACACCTGTAATCCTAGCAACTCAGGAGGCTGAGATCTGAGGAGGATGGTTCAAAGCCCTCAGATAAAGGCAAGTGGTCAGATCTAAAAGAACTGGGTTTTACAAAAGTGATGTCCAAGCATGTGTTAGCACCGGCAGGGACACCCACGACCACTTATGTGCTCCAGTCCCACTGGAGCAGCACAGGCTGCCTGCGCCACCACTGAGAACCCTAGACCCTAGCTTCGGGCTGGGAATCTGGAGCTGCTGGCCCACAGTGAAGAATAAACAGCCACCTGTCCAGACTGCTGCTAACACAAGTCCCAGGGCACCCCAGGCCCCGCCTCCAGACATCTGGGCGGCCCAGACCCCGCCCTCCCTGTAGCGGAGAGGGCGTGGCCCCGCCGTGAGGTGGGCGGGGCCTGCGCGGGGCGGGGCGGAGCCTGCGCGGGCTTCTGGCCGGCCAGGGGCCTCAGGCGGAGTTTCCAGAAAAGTCCGTGGCGGAGTCCCTGGGGCGCCGCGGTGGCTGAGGTCCTCTCTCCTCACCTGAGCGGGGCTGGGCGAGGCCTGGGTATCCGCGGGCCTCGGATTCCACCCCAGGAACCGCGCTAGCCAGCCAGGTGCTGCCTCTGGGGACGCGGTTGCTTCCGCCTTCTCTCCGGCGGCCGGTGCGCTCTGGTTTTCAGTGTTGAGCTGGGCCGCCAGCTCGGCCCGTTTGCGGGCCGCTCGAAACTCAGCTAATCGCTGTTCCATGGCGCGCGCCTCCGCCCCGCGCCCTGGGCGCGCGCTCACACTCGCTCGCCCGCGCGCGCCCAACGCTCCTCCGCGCTCCCGCGACGCGGCTGGGACGCCCTGCGCCTGCGCGGTCCGCTCGCGGCTGCGCCTGCGCACTGGCATTCGGCGGGAGCCCTGGTTCCCGCGGGTTTGTGACGCTCCGAGGCCGCCCGGCTCGCGGGGCCGAAGCCGGCTCGGGCGCGGGCCTCGGGGAGGTCGCGTCCAGCATCCCGGAGCACCGAGCGGGAAGGCGGGGACGGGACTTGGAATGTGTGGCGCTGGACGCCGGTGCTCACGCCTGTAACCCCGGCTACTCGGAGGATCGCGGTTCCACACCAGCCCCGACAGGAAAGGCCCTGGAACGCAGACCCACCCAGCCTGAGCCTGGAGTGGAGCTGTGGCTCAGGTGGTGGAGCGCTGGCCTTGAGGGACAGCGCCCGGGCCCAGAGACCAAACCCGAAATGAATGATGGAACTGCCCGATCTAAATCATGCCAGCACTAATAGGGAGAAAGAAGACGCACAGTGCTCCTGGAGCCCTGGAATGTTGTTCTTCTGGGTGTGGTCATACGGATGCACATAATGCCATTACCCGGAAGACACGTGGGTCGTAAATTGCACCCCAGCGTTTTTAAGCTGTCTGGCGTAGCAGCCTTCCAGTATGGCCAGAACGATGAGGTATATGCACAGCCTGTGTGTGAGTCTCATGGACTTTAAACAATCAGAAATGGAGCTGTGGCTCAGGGCTAGTGCTCAGGCCCTGAGTTCAAGCCCCAATACCAGTGCTTAGAGAGTCTCATGGACTTTCCTGCCCGGGCTGAGATCCTGAGATCTCAGTCACCTAAGTAGCTAGGATTACAGGAGTGAGCCACTGCCCCCCCTCCCCCCACGGGCATGCAATTGAGAGAGTTTGAACAGGAGATAGATGGGTATATGGGTCACACTGGCTGCTGGAAGCAGGGCCCTGGGAGAGGGCAGGTGTAGAAGGAAAACCATTCGGGAGCAAATATGTAGAATAAGAGAGACTGTGGGAGTTTGGGCTGATGTAGAAGTGGTAAAAATTGGTGGGATTATAAAGTTTTGGAGATTTGAGCCAGTGTTATGTGGATGGGTTGGGTGTGGAGTTTGAGAAAAAGAGGAATCAATGCCTGTCGCCAGTGGCTCACGCCTGTAATCCTAGCAACTCAGGAAGCTGAGATCTGAGGATCGCGGTTCAAAGCCAGCCTGGGCAGGAAACTCCTTGAGACTCTTATCTCCAATAAACCACTAGAAAACTGGAAGTGGCGCTGTGGCTCAAGCAGTAGAGTGTTCTCCTTGAGCTGAAGAGCACAGGGACAGCGCCCAAGGCCAGAGTTCAAGCCCCATGACCGACCAAAAAAAAAAAGAGAAAAAGAGGAATCAGAATCTGGAAACACCTCACTTAGGGGTTGTGCATTTTAAGTTGCACCCCAATAAGAACAGTTGTTCCGATGGACTGAAGAAGTAGTTGACTTTATAAAAGGACTGGGAAGACAGGAATAAGACTAGAAAGTGAACCATCATTTCAAAGTGATTTTCCTTATAAAATTGAAAACAGAAGAAACTCTCTTATCATACCAGCTTCAAGTTTGCCTCTTTGGGGGTGGTGGGGGTGGTGATTCTCTCCTGAATCCCTGAAAGGCTGGATAAGGCTGGGTCTGATGGTGCAGCGCTTTTAGCAGGAGTGACTCCACTTCAGTTTGGCCAGTCCAGCCAGCTACGTGCAGAAGCTCAGTCCAAAATGATGGCTCCAAAAAATATCACTTAACAGCCTCTGGCTTATTCACTGATACCCTGGGCAAACAGGTGAATGCTGCTGGGGCCTTTGTCTTTTCAGGAGGACCACTCTGAGGAGAGGATCATGGAGTGAACAATGGGAGGAAGTTCTCTTTGGGACATGACAAGTGTTTGGGGTGCCTGTTGGCTATCCAAACATAAGCAGCTGGATAGTGAGGAGTGGAAGCCAGGACGGTGTAGTTTAAGCTATAAGGTGACCTGAGATCAACTGGAGGGTGTGCATAATAGGAAATTTTAACCAGAGACAGGTCGCAAGCCACAAAAGGATGGGGTTTCTACACCACATTGTCCTTCAGTGAGAAACCACCGGAAATGCTTCACCCCTGTTGGTATTGGGAGCAGATGTGCTTCTCTACGAGAAACTAGAGATCCTTGTCTCATCGTCTTTGCCACTTGATGATGAAGCCAAGACCTGAGAGCTGCGTTTACGCCCCCCCCCACCACCACCTAGCGGGCATATAGTATTAAGGCCTGGACTTTGTAGATGTTGAAATAGGGACTCTTCAAAGGGTTAAATAAGAAGGATTTGGTGAAAGAGTTGGTTATGAAGGTGAGGTGGGATGAAGAAAGCCAGCAAAGGAGGGTGCACAGGATGTCTTGCCAGGGTCTAGGGCTGGAGCACGAGGAAGTGTGGTTGTTAAAATGGAGGGAAGCCTGCAGGTCTAGGCAAAGCTAAAAGACAAGGAGCCTTTCACACGTCCTAGACAGGTAGAGAAGGCCACATAGGGGATCTGCAGGAAGCAATCAGATCTAAGCAAAAATGAATGTCATTCCTATCCTTCCTTGCTTAGGTAAGCTTATTTTCCCTGTGTTTTCTTATTCTGAATTCATTTTGTCTTGATACTTTGTAAGCCTGCTTAAATCCTTTGGAAGAGGTTGAAAGAATGGGGAAAAAAAGAGAAGAGCAATGATCATGAGGAACAACTCCTGCCAAACCAATTTAATTTCCTCTTCAGATAGGATTGTATGACCAGAAGGGTCCCCAAAAATGTACTTGATGTGAATTTAATGAACTTTGTTTCCTTGAGGGGATAGGGGATGGTGAACTTAATAACAGGAATCCAGTTGTTGAAGCTAGGACACTGACAAACATGAACTACAGTGATAACACAAATAAACTACAATGACAAAGCGTTATCTGGTCCCAAATGTGGAGAGTGCCAAGGCTGAGAATACCTCAGCTAAACCAGTGGAACTGCAGGTTTGCTTGAGGTCTGGGCCTGAAACCCATAGATGATCACTTTCATTCCATTCCAAGGCTAGGAATTGAGGAATAGATTCTACCTTTGGTTGGAGGAAATACAAAGAACTTATTTTCATTTATTTTATGTGTGTGTGTCAGTTCTAAGGCTTGAACTCAGGACCTAGGCATTGTCCCAGAGCTTTCTTTGCTCAAGAATAGCACTGTGCCACTTAAGCCACAGCTCTACTTCCAACTTTTTTTTTTTTTTTTTTGTCAGTAGTGGAGCTTGAACTCTGGGCCTGAGCGCTGTCTTTCAGCTCTTCAGCTCAAGGCTAGTGCTCTACCACTTGAGCCACAGCTCCAATTTTCTGAGTGATTTATTGGAGTTAAGAGTCTCATGGACTTTTTCTGCCTAGGTTGGCTTTGACCGTGGATCTTCAGATCTCAGCCTCCTGAGTAGTTAGGATTACAGGTGTGAACCACCAGCCCTCAGCCAACTTTTTTTTTTTTTTTTGGTGTAGTTAAGTGGAGATAAGACTCTGACAGACTTTTCTGCTCAAGTTGGCTTCAAACTGAGATCCTCAGATCTCAACTTTCTGAGCAGCTAGGATTACAGGAGTGAGCCACTGGCCCCCAGTGGATTCACCAACATCTCTTATCTGCCACAAGAGCAGACGGTGAGGATAGCTCAAGAAAGGTTGACGTTAGTTCGTGTAGAGCTGTCCTTAAGAAAGGATTGTTACTCTCCTGTGTCCTTGAGATTTTTTTTTTGTTTTGATCTTTTGCGGGTTCCACGTATCAAATTTAATTCTGAGCACAGGCTTTGTGTGACACGACACAGAAGATGAGGGCAGTGGCCTAGATGAGGACTTGAGGGTTTCTCAGTCTTGGCACTTGGGGCAGTTTGGCCCAGATACTTTCTGTTGCAGTGTCTGCCCTGTCCCTGTGGGGTTCTTACCAGTGGGCCCAGCCACTCCCCACTGCTTCCCAGAAGCACCGGAGCTGTGCTACCCAGCCCTGTCTGCAGACAGCGCCACTGCTCATGGTAACTTGCCCCCACGTTGAGAACTGCTAGTCTAAAGACCCTGTCACAGAAGGGTAGAGACAGGGGATAATGAGCCGGATGATAGTCATGGGGACAACATACTGGTTGGTTCTAGAACCATCAACTGGGGAGGGGACCATTTTGTGGGATCTAAACTGAGTTGGAAATTATGAGGGGTACAGATTTGGGATCTGAAACCAGAGCATTTCAGTGATTACAGCAACAGAAGGTGCTGCCTCTCAGAGCTGTGAATTTCCAGAATATTCTGGGAATGTTTGAGCAAAAGCTAGCTAACCCGTTACTTTGCTGGAATGTTGTAGGAGGGAACTGAAGAGAGATCTGGTTAGCCTAAAATGATTACCCAACCCTACCCACAAAAGGATGTGACGTGCCGATCCAAGTGTGGCAAACTGGGAGGAGAGGACGGAAGTCTCTGGAACAACAGCACCCCAGCTACACAAGAAGCAGACATCAGGAGGATTATGGTTTGAGGCAGCCTGAGGAAAAGCAAGACCTCTGTGTTAGCCAACAAGCCAGGTGGAGTGGTGCAGACTGTAATCCCCGCTGCACAGAGGATAGGGGTGGATGGATTTTGCTCTGAGGCAGACTTGGGCAAAAAGCCAGGAGATCCTCTCTGAAAACTCACCTAAAACAAACAGGGCTGGAGGTGTGGCTCAGGTGGTAGAGCGCTAGCCTGGCAAGTGCAAGACCCTGACTGAGCTCAAACCACACAACACAAAAAGGGGGAGGAAGAAGAAGAAGGAGGAGGAGAGGGAACATTCTGGAAGAAGGTACCAAGAATACAGCATCCAGCCAGGCACCAGTGGCTCATGCCTGTAATCTTAGCTACTCAGGAGGATGAGATCTGAGGATCAGGGTTCAAAGCCAGCCTGGGCAAGGAAAGTCCATGAGACTCTTATCTCCAGAAAACCAGAAGTGG